ACCTCCTGCCAAAGGGTGAGGAAAATAAGCGGTTGCTCCCTGGGTGAGAATATCGCCTTTCATGCTGAGGCTGACCTGAGTGTACCTGAAAGTGGAGAGTCGGCTTGTCATTTGAGTGTGGGGACATCAAGCTGTCTAGAGCCTTCTATTCAGTCTTATCTCATTCTCCTTTTGTCTTGGATGAACTTCACACATAAGTTTTCTTTAATCTCAGATCCTTAGGCTGTTTTTTCAAAGCCTAATTCACAAACCTCACAGTGGTGTTGACTTCAAACCACTTCTGGGAAAAATCCAGAATATCAGTCTGTTGCCATGACAGTGGAGTGACTGGATGGCACGACAGCTCTTCTGTGCAGACACTTGGTACATCAAGCTGAGGGAGGGATTTCCAGATCACAAAGGGGGTAAAATTGGGATTTTTTTGGTTGTTTCTTTTTATGGGATGTAAGGGAACATCACACAGCTTATTGCCTAAATAAGAGGTACAAAAACTGATATTGTGTGGGTGTGAGTATGAGTGTGTGTTTTTATACATCTGGCCATTATATCTTTGTTTTCTGGAAGTTAGAGAATTATTTTTTTGCCTCCAGAAGTATTTTTTACCAGATTTGGAAATAAGATCTTGACTTGGTTTATTTAGCATGAACACATTGCAACAGATTCTTTATACACCTAATTCCTACAAGAATTGACGAAAGAGTGAGATTTGCCAAGTGAAGCAACAGCCAAGTTCTCAGTAATCTCTTCCTTTGATTTGTTTTTTCAGATTTTTTTGCTTTGCCAGCTCTATAGTTCCCAGGCTTCCTTGATGTTAGTTCTCAATCTTTTGTGTTCTGCGTGGGAGAAGTAAAAGAGGAAACCGCTTAGACACATGAATTAGTTCTTTGGCCACGACTGAGGCATCCTTTTCTTTGTGCTGCAGTCTTGCTCGATTCATGATCTAACACCAGAGGGTCGGGAATTCTTGCAGTACCTTAACAGTGCTGAAATCTGCACTGTTAAGGAAGTTAACTGCACTAAGGAAGTTAAAGTCTGACTGTGACCATTTTATTTAAAAGATTCTTTAATTTAAATGAAACAAGGTTGAAGTAAACATGATTTTGTCAATCATGTTCATGAATTATAGATGCACTGTAGCATCATGTGATGGTCTTTTGGGATACCTAATTTTTATTTATCCTGGTGTCTGTGTGTGCTGTATAGACTAAGACAAAATGATCTACTTCACCTTTATTGGAGGGTTTTCAGGACTGTGTGTCTGCTCCTCAGCTTTGTTTTAATGTCTTTTGTCCTTTGGTTGTATTTTGTATTTTAAAAAAACCTAAAGTCCTTTTTTCATTATTGGTGTCATTTCATTTGTTACCTGAGAGATTATTTCTGATCGGATTTCTGCTATGGCCTGATGGAGTTGTTTCTTTATTTACATTGCAATCCTTTCAGCGATTTCAGGTGTGATTACCAAGTTCCCCTACGTCGCTATCTCCTGGACTTGTTCTGGGTGAGGTGGAGTTCTGAGGTTGCGTTTTGGTCCTTCGTCTTGTCATTTTTGATGCCAGAGACAGAGCGCCCCGTCTCACTCTTCCCTGGCAACTCACCAAACATCGCTAGCATCCCTAGTTTTCCTGGCAGTCAGACTTGCCACTTAGTGACCACTGAAATGAGCTGCTCAGTCTGGGGTAACCACGTAGTTGGTGGAGTATACCCAGTTCTCCCAGGTCTCAGACAAGAACCGCGATGGCAGTGGATCATGGACCACTTGGTCCAGGGTCCCCAGGCAGCTGAAGGTGCACCCAGGACCCAGATGCAGCCTTCAATGGTGGCAGGATCACAAGCAGCCTGGTCTACCATCCCTGGGAAGTTGATGGAGTATACCTGGCTCTGTGAGCTGTGATAGCAGCGAACACGGACCTCTTGACCCAGTGTCCCCAGGCAGCTTGGGGAGTGCCCAAAGTCCTTCTTGTTGAGTGCCATTGTCCCCTATATTTTTTCTCTTTTGGAAAAATAGGAAGGATTTTTTTTTTCCTCTTGTTAACCTATTTTTCTGTTTTTTAATGGTTTTATGAAAAGAGCTTTTATAACCTCACCAAAAATAAATTTTCATATTGTCTCTTAAATTTTGATGACTTTTCCAATGAGTGAATTCTTGCAGATAGTTTGAAGTCTGAGTCAAGCTTTATCATTGTTCATATGAATATCTAGTGAGCCTTTCACCAGCCATTGAAAAGACCACCTTTTCTCCACAGAAATAGCTCAGCATTTTTATTAAAACTTGTCTTACACAGAGGATGAGTTTATTTGTACACTATCAATACTATTCCATTGTTTCTGAGTGTGTCTTATGGAAGTACCACATTATCCTGATAACTGAGTCTTGGTTTTAAACTTTGAAATTGGCAAATATGAGTTCCACACATCTGCATTTTCCAAGGTCACTTTGGCTATATTGGGGTCTCTTGTTATTCCCTATACAATAAATATCTTAGAAAATTTTTGGTGCATTCATTATCATTAATCCTTATTCTGATTTTCTTTTTGGTTTACTTTTGAACTATTCATAATAGTGGGTATTGTTTAATTTTTATATACTTGTGCATTTTCTAATTTTCATTCACTGATTTGTAATGTATTCTCATATTCACAGAATCTATTTTATATAATTTCAATTTTAAAATATATTTATGTTTGATTTTAACCTGCTTATATGACTATTCTATATATTTCATGTTCACTGGAGAAGATTGTGCATTTGACATTTAATTGGACTAATGTTCTATAACTGTTACTAGGTTGACTTGGTTTTTGTTTTGTTTTGTTTTGTTTTGTTTTGTTTTGTTATTTGGTACCAGGAATTGAACTCATGACCTTACACTTGCCAGGCAGGCAGTATGCCACTCAGCTATATCCTTAGTCCTACAAGTGTTGCTAGGTTGACTTAGTTCTCTTTAGTCATTGAACTATATAGTTGTATCCAATATTGAAACTGGGGGATGAATGCTTCCAATTATTATTGTATTTATTATGTGTTCATTTCTGATTTTGTTCTGTCATATTTTGATTTATGCATTTTGAGGTTTTTATCTTACGTATGATAATTTTTATACCTTCTGCATCTTCTTAATGGATTGACAATGTTAGCATTTTCCGGTGTATCTTGTCTGTGGTAAAAATCTTTGTCTTACATCTATTTTGTCTGTGTTATTATAATTACTCCAACTCTTTTTAATTAATGGTTATGTGACTTTTTTTCCCTCTTTTTAAGAAAATCAACTAATAGGAGCTCTCTGGGTCAGGTTTAACATTTATTAGTCTTTTGTCTCTTTTTACCCCATGCCAACAGAATACTTCTCATCGTAGGAGAACTTTTCCAGTATTCTGTATGTTCTGTGATTATAATGAAATGAATTAGAAATCATTCATTGAGTCCTAAACCTCATTGCTCTATATATATATTGAAAAACTCCTACATGGTCATCTCCTGACTACTTGATGCTAAATTCTCTACTTTCCTGTCATTCTCAGAGTGAAAAATAGGTAAATCATCTTCCCCATAAGTACAATCATTTTGATTTTCTTCCAAAGTTTCCATGTGTTTTTCATAGAACTGCTTTTTAATAAAAGGCAACAATTACTGTGTAAGTTTATCTCTCTTGATTTCACTTTCTTCATCAGTAGTGTGGGAGGATTTTCTGAGTTTATAGGCACCCTCAAAGTCTTTCTTAATCTATGTAATAGATTTTATAACTCTGAGATTCACTTTTTGTATGTTTTAAGGAATGAATCACTTTTCTTATAGTAATGTGTGTCTTCTTTCAGCAGTGTTGCTCTTCCAGAATGTTGTTAGTGATACAAATAGTTAAGCTCCATTCTAGATCTACCAACTCACAAATGTGGAGGTAGGGGATATTCTTGAATCTGGATTTAGTAAGTCCTCCATGCAATTCTAATGTAGTTTAAGAGCCATTGTTAGCTAGGCATGGTGTCACAAGCCTGTAATCCCAGCACTCTGGAGGCTGAGACAGAAGAATCCCTGCAAATTCAAGCTCAGCCTGTGCTGCACAATGAGTTCAAGGACAGCATGGAATGCATAGTAAGACCCTGTTTCTAACAAACAAACAAACAAACCCCATTAAAACAACTGTCCTAGAAATTCTCTAAACTCCACAGTAGAAAATGATTCATTCTTTCTCTTTCTATCAGTTTCCAGATACTGGAACAAGCTTGTGGTTTTCCCTTATGCATGTGAAAGGACAGTGTGCAAACTGGATCAGCTATCAACTTTAGTTTTATAACAGAGTTAAAATATTAGAAATAGAATTTTGAAGTCAGATGGTTTGCTTTAAGAAATTAGTATATCATAATTAAACCCTTGTTTTGCAGCATATTATCCATGCTCACTAATGAATCCAGAATTTACTAGTTGTGTTACAGTTAATAATTAAAAATTATATTAATTGAAATAAATTACTTAACCTCCCTGCTTTTTATTTTTTTACTTGTAAAAAAATTAAGCCACTTCAGTGAAAACATCCTGCTATTAAAGCCTACAATTCAGACCCTTGATAATTATCAATTTAATTCTAGAGGCTTGGGAATATTTATTACTACCTCTTATATGCAGTAGAGGGTTAGATTAGTATAACTTTACTTTGTATATCTTCACATCGTTAGTATATCTTCACTTTGATGTTTTAGGGCCCCAAAATACGTCACCTATTGAAATAGTTCCTAAAACATCTTGTCATTATAAAAAGCTATTCGAGGTAACTCATGCAGGTTTTACTTTCATGAAGAAAATTTAATACTATTTTTTGACCAAGTTCATTGACGGTGGTGGTGTTCAGCCAAGCATACAAATGTTCTTGCTTTTGATTTGCCTCTGTAGTTAAAACTACTTCCCAGGGGAACCTATAAATAAAAGGGATTTCTGGCTCCTTCTTTCAAAACAACTAACTTGAAAAAGAAGATCTGTTGACACTTTTTTCTCTAAGAAACACTGTACCATGAAGTTTCATCTCTTTTTCTTTATTCTGCTCTTTGGGGTCACAGTTTTACCAGGTAATATGCAAACATTTGTGGGGGTATTTGTACTAATTTGAAGAGGCATCCGCTGTTTCTTGTTAACAGTATGATAACAGCGATTAAAATGTTATTATACTAAACAATACGGCATTGTGATATAAACTCTAAAACAAAGAAAGGTAAAACTAGTGTAACATCAATGAAATGTAGTTTTGCTAATAGTATTGTAACAATTTCTTAGTGCTGATAGACATTGCTATAGTGATACGAGGTACAACAAGGGCAAGCTGGCTTCTGAAATCTTTTTAAATTTCTGAAAGTCTAGAATGATTTCAAAATAACAAATTTTAAGGATAAGATAATCTCATTAACATTCTCAGCTTCAACCAGTAACATTAATTATTCTGAATGCATGTTCTTTTGGAAAAAATGTTTAGTATAATCCACCATTAAGTGGTAAATGGCTGAAGGGTATAGATTTATTTCCTTTTTCTATTTTTCACCTATGCCAATACTGCTTTCCATTAGTAGCAATCCCTTCTTGGTATTCTTTCTTGAGGCAACTATATCCCCTGTAGGTCTTTCTATAACTGATTCTTGACAGTATCTTATAGTTTTGGTGAGAATTTTCCCCAAAAGTCTGTCTCTCCACATAGGATAGGAGGTAATAAGCGTCTCTTCTCCCAAACATTTGTGCAAGCAGAGAAAGAAAATACAGTAAGTACTGCAGGTAGAGAGATCACTGATGCTACTAACTTCCTGGTAAAGACACTGAGATGAAAGGATGAGCACAAGCCTAGACACTTTGTAGGAGAGATAGCAAAATCAAACTCATACGCACTAACTTTTTGGACAATACTCTTTTAGTACCTGGGTTAATATACAGACATTAGAAGAAAAATTGTAGGAAAAGCCTGAGAGATTAAATTAACTGTTATCTCATTGTCTTACCAAGTATATCATTGAAATCTAAAATTTTACATGTAGTAAACTGATAAATTATCATTTAAAGTTGCTACTGCAAAAAGGTCTAAGCCAGGCATGGCAATGCACGCTTGTAATCCCAGCACCTGGGAGGCTGAGACAGGAGGATTGGGGTCATCATGAGTTCAAAGCTGGTCTGTGCTGCACAGTGAATTCAAGGCCAGCCTGAACTACATAGAGAAAAATAATTAAAATCAAATAATAATAATAGTGAAAATTAATAAATAAAAATTCTACAGAGGTCAGTCATCAATAAAATATCAATATAGTTAATTTAGTTAATACAATAACTCTTCTTTCATCCAAAAGTTGTTTATGGAAGGATATCTGGATATTTTTCAGAATTGTAGGGAAAAAATAAATTTCATACAGATTTGCCTAACTTTCAGTAGGTAGTGAGTCATTTTCTTCTATTTCCAACAGTAGAAAACATTAAAACATACACTCTACTCAGCATTCCCTTCCTTAAAACAGCCATATCAAATATTTCCATTCATAACTAAGGTTAGTCCTACATTTATTAAACAAAAAAACCATATGCCCTATAGACTTACAAATGGTAAACCACTTAAGGGATATGGTGACCTAGATTGTAACATTAGTGTCATTTCCTTTTGTACATTCTCATTTATTTTCAAATTGAAGGCACTGTCTTTTTTTTTCTTTCATGCATGGATCAAATCTTTAGAGAACTCCTAGTATTACTGACAAAAAATCTTAAAGTAGCAATAACAAGAATAACAAAAACCAGCATATTCAGCTATGTAATTATATCTTTTCTCCTCAAAATTAGGGGAGTATGATATGAGCTATGGAAATTTAATAAATAATAAAGCATTGATGTTGAGGTCTTTCAACTTTACTCCATCATCATACAGCTGTTAAAGTAAACTGGATATAAACAAGTATCATTTTTAGGTCTTAATGGAACTCCTCCTTTCTTTTTATATATCATTTAGTCTTGTATGTAGTGAAAGATCCTACTCAAAGTTGCAGAACAAAAATTGATACTCTTGCCAGACAGTTACAAATGAAAAGACATCTAGATGAAAATCCTTAAATTTTCTATGCAGGAAAATGTTCGTTTCCATAACTTAGCTTTCATCTTCATTTCCTAGGGTTTATAAATTCACAGTAAGTTAGAAATGTAATATTTTCCCATTCCTTTCACTACATCTGCCAAATTAAAAAAATATGTTAGTATCACAAAGCATTTCTTTCTGAAGTCTAGCAAGTCTTTGAACATAAGGTAATATGGCTTCGTGCTAAAAAGAAAGTTACGGTTTTGTTCCCCTGTTACAAGGGGAGATAATGTTACCCTGTAGAATAAAGAAACAGATGAATGGAAATAAGAAATTTGAGTTGACAGTGAATTTTATCCAACTGTAGTCTGTATAGTAAGTTAGTATCTATATAATATTTAAAGAAATTCCCTGTTATATTAGAATGGTATAATAATGCAGCATGAATGAATCACTTACAGGGATTTCAGAAAAAATGGAGGGAGGTATTATTAGCAGGGCCCTGAGGGAGAAAAGTATTCCAATGCCTTATCCATGGCAAGAGAAGATATTTGTTTTTTGTCTTTTCACTACATCATTATAAGATTGGTTTTCATTGTGCAATGACATCACCCAGGGGACATCAGGCAATGTCTGGAGACCCTTTAGGTGTCACAACTAGTATGACTGGCATATCATGGGCAGAGCCCAGAGGTGCTGCTCCTCATTCTACAATTCACAGGGCACCCACAAGTACAAACTGTCAAGCACAAAGGTCAGTATTGCTTAAGTTGAGAAAACCTGCTATAGAGCCTGGCACTAAGCTCTACAAGAGCAAATGTACTAGACATTCGTTATTTTGCTTTTCCAAACATGGATAAGGCAAACGTCTTCTACACAACAGCCTTTCCAGTATTGTCTGAATATCACCATGAGTCCAGCTACAAATTCCTTGCTAATGCTTTTTAGGTTTGATGAGAAAAAGAACCCTAGAAAGGGGGCTAGTAAACTTTCTTTTTCTAGAAATAAGGTAAATAAAAAATAGTTTCATTTTATGAGCTCTGTGATCACAGCTGTATCCCGGTAATGCAAAAACAGCTATAGATGGTTTGTAAATAAGCAAGTGCCAATCAGCTTATGAGGAGAGGTGGGCTGGTTTGGCCCCTACCTCCATGCTGTGAGTCACTCATCAAGAGGATTCACAACATGAACAATGAATGGAGGTAATTCTTTATAACTCACTCCTGCTTCAGAAGCTTTGCCCATTGCTGTACCTTCTCATACTTCCCATTATTTTCTCAAGCATCAGTACTGTTGTTCAACCTGTGCCTAAGTTAAATTACCTTTTTAGGGAAATAAATCCCACAATATCCAGGAGGGCTGTGAGAATTCAGGTCCATTGCCTAGCATTGCCTAGCTCTCAACATTTAAGAAAAGCAAAATAGAGCTGCAGTCAAAATTTCAAGAAAAATTCAAAAGGCACAACATTCAGATTAAATAATGTTTGTGACAGCAGGACATGGATGGCCCAGAAGGATATAGATGATTGTGGAGATCGAGTTTGGTAAAATAAAATAAAGAAAAATAAGTCATGGCCATTTTTTACTGTTGACTTTGAGAATTGCCCTTGAGTTTCTGCCCGGTCACCCATAACATAACACTTGAACACCTAACTTAGGTCCCAGATGCTTTTGAGTTCTAAGTGGGTCCTTGTATTGAGGAGAGTAAGTTTACATGAATTTCCCCCAGAAAGTAAAGATTTTCACCCTGTTATCTTTGGCTTTTATGAATGTTTCCTTTTAAAACACCAATGTGTCGTTAACTGCATTGCTAATTCTAGTCATTCTTTTCTTCTTACAGCCAAAAGGAGATATCCCGAGTATGGTAGCTTGGATTTAAGGAAAGAGTGCATAAGGAGCAAAGGTCACTGTAGAATTCAGTGCCAAAGCAATGAAATTAGAGTTGCTTTCTGCATAAGACCTGGAAGTCAGTGCTGCATGAGCAGTTCAGGATGACAGAGACAAGAGATACGTGTTCCGTGAAGAGAAGACCGCTGTAACTGAGTCTTCCTGGCATATCTTTCAAGCCTGTGTGTCTCTCTAACACACAAAACTTGAATAAAATTCAACGCTGAACTATTCAGAAGTGTTTCTATGATACACACATTTCCAGCACCTTTTCCTCTTGATTTCTTGCTATCAAAAGCAAGCAGAATTTGTTTGTGGAAGTTATTCAATAAGTTCTCAAAAGTTCTATGTGCCTTGTGATAGGTGATGTAAGTAATATTGGAGTCAAGTTGAGAAGGGGTATGAATGTGTTGTTATTTTACTACAGATTACCTGAAAATATGTAAATCCACTGGGCTTAGGTGACTAGACACTGACAGTTCATGCAGATCTTTTATGAAAGACAGGGCTGAAGGGGAAGAGTAACCAGACCAGAAGGAGAAACACTTGAGTTATCCATAACAAGCTCTGATTTCCGCTCTTACTGCTATTTAGAAAATGCATACCAAGAAACAGGGAGAAACTTTCAGAACGTAGAAGAAATTGCATGAATTTAAACATTTTGATGAAAGAAGTCAGAAACTATAAGTAATAGTTTAATCCAGCTCTTCAGTCCTAGTAAATGAGTCTGTCTAAGGAGATACTGAGTAAGACGAAGGAAGAACCTTTAACTTTCAGCTACATTCTGCCTCAGTTTCTCTCCTATTGGATTCTTGATAAGACTTTCAACAATTCATCTATACCATGTAGTTTCACCAAAAGTGTTAATTCTATTTATTTTATGAGTTAAATCATACAATCTAGCAATTTGTATTGATTCCAAACTCTTAAGTCACATCACCAATACTTCAAGATAATAACACAACACAGGCTCCCTGCCTCTCAAATAAAATAAATACTATTTTGGCAAGTTAATTACAGCAAAAGAAAATTTACTGAATGCATATATGTGAACTAGATCTGGGTTTAGAAAGAGATAAGAAATGAAAGAATTCTTGGGGCTGGGTGTTTAGCTCAGCGGCACAGCGCCTGCCTGGCAAGCTTGAGGTTGTGAGTTCGATTCCCGGTACTGGAAAAAAAAAAAAGAAATGAAAGAATTCTTGATATTTGTGTTGTGGCACCTCTGTGAATTCATTCTATTTTCCAAATGCAGTTGTGAGATCTGTGTTCACATTATAATTATCTATAATATTGACATGCAGAAGGAATAAGTTTTTGCTATATATATAACATTGACATGAGCAAACCCAACATATATTACAAAAGACTGATCATTTTGTAGTGCTCTATCTTAGTGAATGCACATTCCATTATGAAAAAATCCTTGCTGTTATTTGCATTATATTTTTTCAAAAAGTTGGTATAGTTACTCAATATATTTCCTTGTTACTTCAAAAGCATTTGTACAGTATTTATTTATAACAAAGTTTCTCAAGTATGGCACTATAAGTCATTTTGGTCTAGATAATTTTGTTGTAAGAACGATGCTGTTCGTTTTATACAGTGTGATCAAAATAAATGATGGCTGTTTAAATTTTTAAACTTCACTATAGTAACAGATACATTGCCATGAGTTTCCTTCAAAACATTCACTACCATTCAAACACACATAGTCCATCATTTTTGACACTTTCTGAGGCAGTTGTGGAAGTTCTTTTCTGTGTCTTTATGTGAGGTATTAAAAAAAAATACACTGAATGCTTCAGGTAAACTCCATCTAACTGAAATGTAGGCTTTAAAGATATTATGGTGTGATCTCATCCACCTATTCGATGAATCTGGTGCCATGCAACTTCTGGCTTTGCCCATGGTTAAAAGGAGAGGTGAACATTTTGAACTTTTTTAAATCAGCAAGGTAGCCACAGCAGTGAAACTAGAGACATGAAAAGAAGACTGCCAGAACTGCCTGAAACAGCGGCGAGAATGTTTTAGCTATTTTGTCTCCTAGCAGATTGTTTCCATGCTAATGTTTAGATCTCTGTTCCATTTTGAATTTAGTTTAGTGCAGGGTGAGAGACATGAGTCTAGGTTCAATATTCAGCATGTGGATAGCCAGTTTCTCAGCAGCATTTGATTAAAGGCTGTCTTTCCTCCAGAGAAGAAATTTGGACCCTGTGTCAAAAATAACATAGCTGCGTACAACTGAAGTTGTTTCTGTATCTTCTATTCTGTTCCACTGATATACAAGTCTGTTTTTTAGGTGCTTTTTTTGGCCAGTACCATGCTACTTTTATCACAGTAACTTTGTGGTATAACTTGAAGCCAGGGATTGTTGACCCCTGTCTTTCCCTTGTTGGGCAGAATTGCTTTTGTTGTTCCAGGTCTCTTTTGGCTCTACATGAAGTTTAGAATTATTTTCTCCAGTTCTGTAAAGAATGTTACTGGTACTTAGATTGGAATTACATTAACTTTATGTAACAGTCATGGAAGTATGTGTATTTTGACTACATTCATTCTGCTCATCCAGGAACAAGAGATTTCATTCCATTTTTAATACATTTTTCAATTTCATTTTTCAGAGTACTATAGTTTTTGCTTAGAAGTTTTTCACTTCCTTCATTACATTAATTCCTAAGTATTTCATTTATCTGGTGCACTTTTGAGGGGTATCATTCTCAAATATCCCTCTTGGTGAGTTATTGGTGTACAGGCAGAATGTTTTTGATATTAGAATGTTGACTTTGTACCCTGCTATGCTGCTGAATTTGGATATTAGTTCTAGGAGTCTTTTGGTGCAGTTTGGGGGTCTTTTATGTAGATGATCACGTCATCAGCAGATAATTATAATTTAACTTCTTCCTGCCCTATCCATATGCCTTTTTTGTTTCTCTTGTCTTATTGCTCTAGGTAATGTTTCAAAAAACTATGGTGAAGGCAAGGACTTTCTGAACAAAACCCCAGTCACACAAGGAATAATACAAAGTATCAACAAATGGGATCATGTCAAATTGAAAAGCTTCTGCACAGCAAAGCAAAGCACCAACAGCATGAAGAACAATTCTCCTTTGTTGGTGGGACTCCAGACTAATACAACCACTATGTAAATCATTATGGAGATTCTTCATAAAATTAAAAATAGAAATTCCATTTGACCCAGCTATTCCCTTTCTAATTCACTTCCCAGAACAGTTAAAGATATACCACACTGATAGATCCATACCATGTTTACAGAAACATAATTCACACCAACTAAATTTTGGAAACAGCATATCAGTCCCTCAACAGATAAACGGATAAAGATGTGCTATTTGTACACAATGGAGTACTACTCTGCAATAAAGAAGGATAAAAATCATTTGTAGCAAAATAGTACACCTTAAGACCATACTGTTAAGTGAAGTAACTCAGAAACACTAGCTTAAACATGGCAAGGTTTGTTTCATATGAAAACCTCAATGTATATTGAAATTTAAGACAGATACTGGGAAAAAAAGAATGAAAATGGTGTTTTGATCAAGTGTGGACAATGTATCTAAAAGTATACCTTGACCGTACAGTTTTCTGACATAGTGTACGTGTTCTTTGACCAGTTACTCTGGTTTTTCAACTTGTATATGTGATAATTAACTTTATAAATCCTTATAAATATATGAATCTTATACTTGAAGAAAAGGAGTGGAGGGAAGGGGACAAAGGAATTGAGATGTGTTGTGTACGTGTACCAATTCTCTACAGTGAATGCAATCATTATGTAGGGTGAACCTGCACTAATAAAAAGTTGGCAAGAATGATGGTCTAAGTAGGACTGAAGTGAGCATGAATATTATGATGATTATTAGCAATGTATGTTTATTTTAATCTTTTTTAAAATTTAAACATTCTTGTTATTTGTTGTTCATATCTAATGTGTCTGAGGCCCATGTCTTTTGTATTTTAAAGACATAATTGCATTGTAATTAAATCCTTAAGAAAAACCTCCTAATAATGCAAAATTTACCTACACTGACTACAGTCCAGAGCAGAAATTTGGAAATCTCAGAGTACCTCTCTTCTGATTGTCTTAGGTGATTCATAAGCAACTAAAACACTAATGAGTATCAATATATAATACAACAAGCATTGTTAATTTTCTGCCACTTTGTTTGTAACTCTGTATTGTCTGTACTGTTCTTTTGCTATTTTGTAAAAGGTTGTCTGTTAATGTTTTCCTCCTTTTATTTTTAAAATAAAAAAAGTAAAACGCTAATGAGGGGACAGTTTTTAAAGAGATAATCTAATACACAAGAGATATGTTTCTCTATATATCTTGAAGGTACTTTAGTTTGCTCAATAAATGACTCTATCAGTATTTGTACAAAAACTGTACTCCAATAAGGACCAGAAGGTGAAAAATCAGAAGAAATCATAACTATCATATATGGGTTTTCATTCTGATTACATATAAAAAGTATTAATTTATGTTATTTTATTCATACACTAAGTATCACTTAGACTGGTAAAAAAGAGATTTATTTCCAGTAGAATGAAAGAAAATTTCAAAGAGTAAGATCTGGAATGAAGCACAAAGCACTGAACAAGTGACACTTAAAAGATAAAGTTTAAAAGTTTGATAAAACATTAAAATTACAAGTACTTAAAAGCTATAAGTACTATTTTGAAAGGAGCATGAAATAATAAATCTACCTTTAATAGACTGAGAGAAAATAAGACATTGGTAAGAGCCCCAGGAGCCAGCTGAATGCAGTATTGAGGTACAGTTCAAGATAAGGCTACACATATTATACAAGGAAAATGTAGATTGGCTACTTTTGGAAATGACTAATAAATTCTGCTTAACCTTCCATTCTCCCCACATTTCACACCCATTGTTTCATTAGAACAAATTTCATATCTCTTCAATAAGATGAACTCCCAAAGGATTAATACACTGATAACTTCAGATACAGTTATCTATTGCAGCCAGATGTAAGTTTCCAGCACCGTATAGCTTTTTTTGTTTTTGGTTTTGGTTTTGGTTTTTCTCCGGTACCGGGAACCGAACTCACGACCTTGTGCTTGCCAGGCAGGCGCTTTTGCCGCTGAGCTAAATCCCCAGCCCCCAGCACTGTATAGCTTTGAGAGATATGAAAAAGTGAAAGGAATACATACAACATTTTGTGATGATGTTGAATATGATTACAGATACTCCATTAAATGGAGAAATCAGACATGCACTCAAATTCTGGAAGACAGGACTACAACTGAACATCAATTTTGCAACAGAGATGCACCTTTTCATTCATGAGTGGGTGAAAATGAAAGGCATGCAATCTATTGTGGAAATATGTATGTTAAATTCTAAATATATCTGCCTAAATGCAAAAATATTGGTCTCTACACTTTACTGTGGAATTTTGTATTTCAGATGGATTACATCTGAATCAGCCAAGGGAATAGACTCTAATTATATTTATAATCTCATTATCTCCAATTTATCATCCAGATCATCTCAATACATCTAAACTAACTCCCTCTCTCCTCTCTCTCCCTCTCTCTCTCTCTCTCTCTCTCTCTCTCTCTCTCTCTCTCTCTCTGTCACTCTCTGTCTTTCTCTGTCTCTCTCTGTCTCTCTCTGTCTCTCTCTTTCTCTTCCTCTCCTCTCTCCAACTCCAAATACTTACGTTTAGATTATACAATTTGACATTTTGGCTCATTTATGAACCACAAAATCATCACTGCAATTAAGATAGTGGCATAAGTCCACTCCAAGTTTCTTCCTGGAATAAGTAAAT